TCCCAGGCCACGTGCTTGTTCCAGTAGGGCTCCTTGTAGTAGCCTGCCGCAAGAGCCGAAGCAACTGCTGGGCTGAGGTGGGCTTGGGAGCCTGTGCTCTGCATCTGCTCTGCAAAGACGGCGCCTGCGACGGCGGAAAACCGTTCCATCTACCGCTCTTTGCTCTACTTGGGCCTCGCCGGGGACGCTGGATTTGCTTTGGCTCCTCGGTCTCCGACTCCACATCGCTGTCGCCACCTCGCAGGCAAGACTTGTTCTTCGGGCACGGCTTCACATGGATGCGCTGACATGACACATGAGCTTGAATGCCGCTTGAGATCTGTCTGCACCTGCTGATTTGCCGTGCACGTTCTGGCCAGGCAACGTCTCAACCAGTACGAGTGTAGGTGGACAGTATTCCACCGGTTTTCTGATATCCGAGAAATGCATGCCAAACCAAAGGCACGAAGGAACAGCAAGTGCAGAGTGCGGACAAAGGATGCCAAACACTGGACGGGAACCTGAGATTAGGCACGCACGACGGCGCGACTAACCGACAGAGACGACTTCTTGGATTGATCACCAGAAGAAACTTTCGTTCTTGGTTTTGCTCGAGTATGTTTAGCCACCTCTGTCTGACTCAGAATCATTCAGCGCAGACTCGATAGCATCACGACGTCCAGTGGAAGACCCCTGATCGCCCTCCCCCGGCTCGCAATGCCATGCTGGCCCAGTGGCCAGATGCTGCCGCGGTTTGTGGCCCGCTGAGCAGCTGCTGAGCAAGCTGCCCCCGTGCGGCAACTCACGGCTCTCCGAAGAACTCTGCATCAGCATTTGCAGAAAAAAGCCCCCTGTTTGAAGTGGAAGCAGCTCGTTTGCGATTCCCCCATTAGAGGAATCCCCCGGCGTCACCAAGAACAGCCGGGCAATATCATCCCAAGCTTTTTCCAAGGCAATCTGCACAAGTGATACTACCTGTTTGTGCCAGAGTCTGGGCAGGTTCGAGCGGCACCAGTCCTTGCGGGCCCTCGCGGAGTAACTGCTGCCACGTAGCAGGTGGGACGCGGGGCTCTCCCGATGCATGACTCGTCGAAACAGGCGCAGGTGACCCACGCATACTCCCTAAGACTTACCCTAAGAGTGTCTGTGGAACTGCTGCAAAAAAAAACGGATCAATCGGAGCAAGCCGTCAACAGTCGTAGACTCTTCACCATGACGGCCCCCGGTGCGAAATCCAGGGCCATGGGAGCCCGGCCGGACTGGGACCAGACAGATACCCCGCCAGATCGCTGCTAATTGCGCTGCAGACAAGGGGCCACTGACAGAGTCTTGTCGATTGGACAAGAGAGATGCGGTGAACAACATGCGACTAAGAAAGCCGGATCCGCGGCGGACAGAGCTTGCAAAGACAAGACCTCGAACCATGATCCCCTGCGACCCATCGCATGCAAGGCAGCGGGCGGCGTGGAAATGGGCACCCGTATCCCGGAAATCTGGAGTCTCGCTTCCTCCCTCCCGCACCCCTGGAAACTCGGAGTCCAACCCGGCGATGGCGCGATCCCGCAACTCTGTCAAAAGTATCGCACGGCCTTCCGTCCTTGTGCCGGCACTGATGTCCGACTGTGCTAGCGACAGATTTTGGTGAACTCCCGAGAGGAGGCCCATCATATCTGAACCGATGCATGGCACAACGATGATGACCCAGATCCGCCAGAAACTTTGAACACAGCTTCTTGTCGAGTGGAACTGTGCATGAGCGGAAGGGCGCAAGAAGTGCATGAGAAGATTGGCATTCACGCAACAGTGCCCTATAGCGGGAGCAGGCTGGGTACAGAAGCCCCTCGTGAGCAAACGGTTTAAATTGCAATCACAATGTGACATGGCCAAGTCCAGAAGCCCTTATGATCGGTTCCAAGCGAGGTCTCCATGGCATCTGATCGCCGACTGGTGCTGCACAACGCCGTGAAGGCAAGTCAGCCGGAGTTTTGACGGCATCTGAAGATTGGAGTGAAACCATGGGCTGCGCGCTCCCAGAAGAGCTGGGAGCCAGCCTCGACGGTTCCTCTGTGCGCGCAGCATGCGGCCTTTCCCCCCGCAAAAAAAAGCTCCATCCAGCGCGAAGATGGCCGGGGCAGCGAATCACTTTCCCTGTGGCGATCACTCCGTTCGGTGGGGCTCCAAGGTTGCAGGCCCCAATGGCAATCCCAGAGCCCGATGCGGTTCCCGGCGCCAATTGGGATGCCAAGGAGGCAACAGGGCCAGATGAGTACAATACCTTTTAGGCTTTTTCTTCGGGCCGTTCTTGAGACTGGTCACAATGACATCAAACACCTGTGTATTCGCGGAAGAAGAACATCTGAAAGATTGAATTCCGGTACCCCAAGGCCTAAACACCAAAGACGGAATCAGCATACTTGAGTCTGAACAACGATGCCCTCAAAGACTGGCTACTATGACATTCATATTTAGGAGTTCGGGGTTGGGGATCCAACGTAAAGATGTTCTGTGCAACGGTAGCTCCGCGTGGCTTTGGGCTCCGGGCTGCTAGAGCGC